GGTAACACTTAATAATTATTATATCAGCAGGGAACAACTTAAAAAAGGAGGCTCAGGAGACAGAAAAAACAAGCTCCTTTGAGTTTTGAAAGTAGCAGTCAGAAGCTGATTTCTTGAAGCCTAAAAGAAGACTCCGTTAGTTAAATGCATTTATCCTTTTGGGAGCTAAAGCTGAACCAAGCAATCATTGGTTGAAAGGTGGGTACACCCTGGACAGGTCCCCAATTTATCACATGGCTGACACGATCACAGAGACAGACAGTCACGAGACAGTTTCCAGTCAGCTGCATGTTTTTGGTCAATGAGAAGAAACCACAGTGAGAAACTTCCTATACTGCAACCAGTGTGGACTATAAAAACAATGGACAACATGACAGCTTCCCAAAAGTGAAGCCAAAACATATAGAGCTCTACCTACTGACTGGCTGCAGTATTGGTCATAAGCTCCGCCTCCTCCATATAGACAGATGAGACATGGGTCAAACTATAAACTCAAAAAAACAAGTCAAATAAACTTTCTCAAGATTGTTTTTTTTGTCATTGTAGTTTGTTCTTATCATGATGATATATTTAATTAAGTGTTAATTTTTCTTTAAAAAGTTTAGTTTTAATTATTTGTTTGATGCTAAGAAAATGTGTTTGATTGACAGCTCAGGTGACAAATGTGGCTCCTGTAGTGCTTTTTGCACCGGATTAACAGAGCAGATGAAAATCAGCGAGAGGAAGCCTAACACAAGAGTCATTGCGCTTTCCAAAATCGTGAGTGTCTGCTTCAGTCGGACACAAGAATCAGTTCTGCTGACCACAAGGATCTTTGCTGTTTCATCTGTGAGTGTGTTTTGGGTAGAGGAAGGGGCATGACGCCAATAATGAGGCTCAACCAGTTGATCTCGACTACACAGACTCTGGCTCCAAACACATATCAGTGCACATCATCAGAGGTATATAGGCTTCACTTTGGGACAACAAGAAGAGGCCGGGTGTATCGTCCATCTTTATATGCAGTCAGTGGTAGATACCTAGTATTAGTCGTTCTTACTGTCCATAAACTGAGAGGACGTCTCTCTAAAATTAAGTTTATAAAGGACAAAAAAAGGAAAACATGCATTTTAAAAACTTAGAAATTACTTAAAAATGTGTCTTTTTTTTCATGCACTATTTTGTGACTCCAGACTGAGGTACATTTGACAAAACTTGGATGATAAAATCCAACCTGCTGGAAGCTTTGACAGCTGAATGTTTAATATGAAGTGTAAGGCAGAAGTGATGTAGGATTCATACCACATTGCCACAAAGTCTGGAAAAGTCAGCGAGCTCATCCCCCTCTCTCTGCTTATTTCCTGTTTCCTTCTGTGCTGAGAACTTTCAGATGGAAGACAAAAATGTCTAAAATGTTTTCACAGAGATGTCAGGCTCATCACTCTTGGAAACAGTTGCATTTGTTTCTCTCTCCTCATAAATGAGTGATAAGTATTGTTGTTGGATGATCAGTTAAGATGTGTCTGTTGTATGTGGCATTATGATCGACTCCAGCCTGTCCGTCTCTCAGACTTTGAGCCTCTGAGAACGGCAAAGAGTGTCCTGAATGTTTCAGAGTTTTAATAATAAAACATCTGACATCAGGATTTAGAGGGCTCTGTGCTGGAATACTTCACGGATCCTTGCAATAACTCCCGTATTTTCCTCCAGAATCGGGCAGGGAGCTCTCTGTGAGCGCAGACACACTCGCAGAGAGCTCCTCTCACATATATTAGCATTTAATGAAATGCACATTTTTCTCATTTAGTCTAAAACGCTTCCAAATCTGGGGGAAATACAGGGATGACCCGTGTTTTGATTTGCTCTTTATTAGTTTGTTTTCTTTTCATTCATTCTCTGTTCTCCACTTAAGGTTTCAATCTGTCCACTTTGAGCCCTGCGTGCCAAGCTGCGGCGAGGACGGGCTGTGTGCGTTTAGTGTGTGAATTTGTTGTCTGCTGGAGCCGGTTGGAGCTCCAAAGCAATCAGTTGTCTGTACTGTGTTACGCGTTGAAATCCATTTTAAATGCACCTCCATGTTGTTCTCCATATTTTTTATTAGGATTAAAAGTTATGCATTTGTACTATCTTCTGACACTTTGAGTTGTCAGAAGGTCAGAAAAGCACTCTACAAGTCCATTTACCATTTACCCACAAACATAAAAGCACAACTTAGGAACTTTGGGGTTATGTCGCTTTTAGCACCCCCTGTGGAAAAGGTGTACATTTTATCTCTCTGCTGATCTAAAGAATCTCCTCCTTTATTTCAAATATTCAATGCGAAACATGAATCTTCAGCATGGAAGATATTTAAAAAGGCTGTCTCCTCAGCATGCTATCACCTCTGGCAGAGGTGACGGGCATGTGAATTAACTAAACTGAAATAATCAACCCTGTTGCTGATGGGTTCCTTTGCTTATGTAGGTCATGAAGACGCATCTGTGTTAATTTCTAAAAGTTTCCTCGAACATCTCCTATTTAAACTTTGTTGAAACACACGCACACACGGAAGAGGGCTTGTGTATATGTGTGTGTGTGTGTGTGTGTGTGTGTGTGTGTGTGTGTGTGTGTGTGTGTGTGTGTGTGTGTGTGTGTGTGTGTCTGTGTGTGTTTGGCCGCGGGCCCACATGCTGTTAATTGGATAATGAGGTACAATGACAAATCCCTGTTGCTGCGACAATAAGGTGCTGCTGTCCAGGTTTAATATCACAGACCCTGCTGTAATGCTGTTTGGACACACACACACACACACACACACACACACACACACACACACACACACACACACACACACACACACACACACACACACACACACACACACACACACACACACACACACACACACAGCTCAGGTGTCTGTAGCTCCACTTTAGAATTTAATCTGGCTCTTCCTCCCAGCAGCCAATCAGAGGCCACCATTGCTGCCCAAACAACCAATCAATTATCTCTAATACTGGATGTGCTCTCCTCTCCTTTCTTCTCCTCGTTTCCTTTTCATTCTTCTTTCTTCTCCTCTCTTGTTCTTTTTTTTGTTTTGTTTTCTTGGCCAACCTCTCTCTCTCTCTTTGCTTTTCCTCGTTTCTTATTCCCTTTCCATGTTTTACACCATGTTATATTCCCTCCTCTCAATATAGCATTCCCGGGCTGAATGATGGTCTTACTCTACGAGTGATGTTTCACAAAGGCACCGCTTCACAAGCATGACGACACTTCTCGGCTTCTTTTTTTAAAACTCACCAGTGCCCAAACTTTAAAATGGTATCATTGCAACACATAGACGATACATGGGGGTTGCAGCGCCCATCTGAAAGGCCCTTCAAGAAGGACAAACTACTTTGAAGAGCAGGCGGTTGTTAGGGATGCTGTTCTCATCACAGACTCTGGAAGTCTCACATAAGTACGGAAAGAAGTTCGGTAAGTTTGACGTCCATCTGTTTACAGTGGTCCGATCCATGTGTTACATATTCAAGTAACGCTAAGTTACGGCTCATATAGCTAAAGCTAAATCTTTGCCGCACACACCAATGCTCAAACTTAGAAAAACTACAGGAGAAGGTTGTGAATTCACTCCATATTAATTTGCGTTAACATTAAAACACTGTGCCTTTATCAGCCAGGTGCTTAATCTAAAAAAATACCAAATATTTAAATTTCCTCTTCTCTTATCCTCTTCAAAATGTTCCTGATGCTGTTCTTTCTTTTCCCTATCCTTTTCCTTGTTTCCTTTTTTCCTTCTCCCCTCCCTTTACTCCTTGTCTCCTGTTTTGTGCATTCCATGTGTCATTTTTTCCCCTCCTCTTTTCCCTTACTACTTGTCTATCCTCCCTCATTTCCTTCCTCCTCCCCGTTTGCTTTCCTTTTAATATCCTTTCATTATCCCTTTTTTTCTCCCCGTTCATCCTGCACTCATCTTCTCTACTTCCTGTTTGTATTATCTCCTCCACCTGCTTCTCTTTTTTTTCTCTCCTTTCCTATAGTTTCACCTCTCTCTCTTTGTTTCTTCTCCTCTTCTTACACTCCTTTCTCTTTCCCTCTCATCCGCTCTCTTCCCGAGCCATAACTGAGGGGATGATGGGCCATAACTCACGGGGATCCAGGCGTCCTCAGACGTGCTCACATTAATTGGATGTCCATATTAAATGGAAAATGAGAGCAGCGCTGAGGGAAAAAGTGAATGACTGACTCTCTTGGCTGCTATTGACCTATGAGGAAGAGATGCTGCCCTTTTCCCCGGCGCTCTCCCTCGCCCAGTTTTCTCTGCTCCCGTCAGCGTGATGGATCTCAAAGCATTCATTTTCTGACCCCTCACCTGGAAGCAGATTAAGCGCTCTGATTCAATAGGGCCGTTAATGGGGGCGCCAAAAGTTTATGAGGATTTCTGGAAAAGGCCAGGGAAATTAGATTGTAAGCTAACAGATTTATTGCTCTGTTTCAACACATTGTAAAAAGATTATAGGACCTCCAGGCAGGTTGGAGGGACAGAGGGGCCGCGGCGTGTCTCTCCGAGTGAGGGAGAAGTATAGAACAGAGACAGACAGAGTCGTGCTCTCACGTTTAGCCGCTTTTCCACTCTGACAGGCACAAGGCAAGCATGTCAGTCAGCCGAGGATAATCTCACGTCTGACCTGAAGGACGGATGTTTAGACAGCATGCCGAGCGATCCTCAGCTGGAGGCCGGCTGGAGGTGATGTGACAGGCGGTGATGCTGTTTTGTCTGAAATTCTACTTCGAAGTATTCATCCAGTTTGTTCCAACCCATTTTCATTAAGTGTAGAGAAGCTCATGCCACGAGTTATTCTTGAATTTTCCTTTTTTTTTGTTCCAAGTAGTTTTTTCATGTTTTATTTTGAAAGTTCTTTCCTAGTGCTTTGCGTCTGGTTTTACTTCCTGTCTTTGTTTCCCCTCCACTGTGATAATGTGCCCCACCCTGACTGTCTACACCTGAGTCATTAGTCTCACCTGTGTTTGATTACCCCAGAGTGTATGTAGTCTCTGTACGTTCCCTCCTGTGCCAGTTTGTTACGTCATATTTTCTGGTGCTCTCCTCTTGTGGATTCATCCTAACACCCGCGGTGTATACTTTCCTCTTCCTTTTGCATATTTTTAACCAGTTTTTTTGTGTGGGGTTTAGGTTTCCCTTGACTCCTTATCAGTAAGTCTTTAGTTTTAGTTCTGCTCTTTCTGTCTTATGTTTGTGTATGCTTCTAGAGATTGACAAGCAATACAGAAGCTCTAAATCTCCTGTCAGTCTAATGAACCTCAGTGTGTCAGTTCTTTGTGTCAGAGGGTTTGACGGGTTGGTTGCAGTGAAACTTAACATTGTTGGGTTTTTTGGGAGGAGATTGTTTGTGAGATACAGAAAGTAGTGGAGGAAAACACCACTCTGCATTTTGGGAGCATTTTGAATTGAAGTGAGCTATAGTTTGAGTTCTGATGTTTAGATTGAGCCCGAATTCAGTTTCCATACATTAATAACACCTCATTCACGTCGAAGCATCTTCAAGCAAAGCATGATGAAAATCATACACAGCAGGCCAACAGCACTGAGCCTGTCAATGCTGGATATCCTGACTGTAAGTATTCTTAAATAATAATAAATTATCTGATTATTTTATGATCCAGAAAGAAGTAATCATGGGTTTCAATGATTAAGCTTTAATGTTTATATAAGTGGTCTGCCTTATAGTATCCAGAAAACAAAGGTTGGATGAGGCCTTGGTGGACTTGACAGTCAAGGATGGCCGAGCATTTTCAGTGGTTGAGGATGAAAGCTTTCACAAGTTTGTTAAATCCTTGACTTGAGCACAATCCCAAGATACGAGAAAACCAGAGAGATGGCCATTGCTGAGGTCAGGCAGACTCTGCAGTTAGTCTTACTGCTGGTATGTGGACCTTTTTTAACATGGATGCCTGTAGTGATAGACCATTTTATATCTGAGAATCTGAGGCCGATCACTTTACATTTAGGGGTACAAAAGTTTCCCTTCACCCACACAGCAGATCACTTGGCTGTTGCTATCGCTGACAGTTACTGGCATAGAATAAACCAATAAGGTTTCACACCCACTTACTGATTTACTCATGTTTTGAATGTAGTAGATGAAAAATTATTAGTACAGTACAAACCCCTGAGCTGGAAAACATCCACGTCGATCAAGCCTGCAAAATTGTGGCTTACATTAAGTCGAGCACCCCTGCAGAGGAGAAGCTGTGTGCCATGAAGACAAGTCTGAGGATGACGGTAGTAAAACCAATCCCAGAGGTAGACACAATGTGGAACAGCACCAGAGTTAAGAGAACCTCTAGGTGCAGCTCTGACCTCTCTCAGCTCAGACATATGACCTTTCAGTGCTGAGGAGGCCTCCCAGCAGAGTCTTGTTGTGTTGGGTCCCTTCCATCAAGCCACTGTGGAGCTGTCAAAGAAGAAAAGTGTCAGGATCCAATTCCAATTCCCTTGATAAAAATGTTAAAGCACGTTATTGCTGGACAGTGCTCAAATGCCTCATGGCATTGGTGCAAAATTGGCCAACAATTTGATAAAAAAAAAAAATCTGTTTGACAAATCTAAACTATACTGGAGAAAGTAAGTGTTCTGTCTATGCCCACCTTACTGGACCCAAGAATCAAAGAAGTGGTGTTTCGATCCAAGGAAATAAGCAAGCTGCAGTCAAGAGGCTGATGAGAGAATGGAAAACGGGGGCCTCAGCTCAGCCTCAGGACTACAACCTCTAGGCCTTGCTGGACAGTCATGTAGAAGCACAAAGACAGGTGAACAATGCCACTGTGGAATTTAGCAGGTAATGCGTTCTGTAGATTGACTATATGTACAGTTGAAAGTTTTGAGCTGCATTTGTTCAACCATAAATCTTTTTTCTTTTTTTTGTGTATTCCCAGGTATTTGAGAGAGCCACCCTGGGCAGGGCCTGAGGACCCTCTGTAGTACTGAATGACAAGAAACACTCTTTATCACCACCTGTTTAAGTTGGCTTCAAGACGTCTCTGCCACTCTCATCATTGGTGCCATGTGTAGTCATTTTTTTTTACAAGGCTGGCTAAATTTTGAGCCAGAAAAGAAGCTGACTTAAACCCAGCTCCAAGGAAAATTATATTTCCAAAAACAAATCTGTAAAATAAATCAAAAGTTTTAGAAAACACTTCTGATTTTAAATATGTATGAAATCTGTTTTAGCCATAAGAGAAAAACCTACAAGTGTGTTTCGACATTAAGCCTACAGTATGTACTTTAATCATATACGAGAACTGTTTCACATCCATTGTCATTTTAAAGGTCACTTGATAGCAAATGACTATGAAGTGTTTATTTATCATTGGGGGATAATGGAATCTCAATCATACCAAGCCAAACATGTAGCTTTAAATTACTTTTAATGCAGAAATTTGAGATTGACCCATTGAGGTGTTGTGCCAATGATTCGGCCCGACCTTTAAACGGCTGCTTTAATTTCAGTATGCCGCCAGATGTCTCTTTTCTTCCTGAGAATGAAACCCTGAAGCGTTGAATCTTCTTCAGCACAAATAAAAATAAAAACCCAAACTTTATGATCCATGATCTGCCCATCCCTATTAAATACATTTATTACCAGAACCTTTTTAAGGTTTAACCATGACAGGGCTCTTTTTGTATCACCAACCCTTTCTAAACTGGTAAAACTTCCTGGCAACTAGTTTGAGTGGACTAAACCATGAGTGGGGGGGAGCTCATTTAAAACAGATAAAAAAAAAAAAAAACAGACAATTATGGAAATATGAACATTTTTAATTTTAAAAGCAACGAGCATAAATCCCCGTCTAATACCAGTGTAACATAGATGTTACCACCAACTTCAGAACAAAAAGTTCTTTGTCAAAAACATACTTAAATCTACCCCTCTTATTCAAAAATGGTGGAACCAGGAAGTATAAATAACAGGGAATCCAATTCAAACACTTTTGCTGGACCACTAGAAAATATCTGAGTACCAAGGAGAGAATATTTCTTACATATAACAAACACGTTGAAATAAACGTGAGGTTAATAGCTGCAAGGTCTGTTTTGGTACAAGCTCAATGTTGAAATAAAACAAAGTTTACATCAACAGGCGGCTTTGGTGTAAAAGCCTCAATAAACCCCAACCAATTGTTTGCTCGCTGCTGAATACCAAACAGCAGACATGAAAATACCAGCTAGCTACTAGCTTGTGTAGCATAATACAGCTAACAAGCCACATGAGAGTTATTGAAGACCAAAATGTAGTACTATTATTAAAGGTTTTTAACATTTGTGTCTAACAACAAAACTACGACAAACAATGTAAATGTTGTTCAGTGTTTAGTGGTTGCATGAGTAAGCAAAAAATATGCTAACATGTTGTAGCAGCTTTTACCACAAGTGGCCAAGATAATCAAACCTTACAGGTCTTATGGCCAATTTGTAGTTGGTACAGAGCAATTTAACACTAGAAAGCTAGACTTGTTACTAATAATGTTGGTCAAATTTGAAATTAAGTTACTAATCTTAAATTATTCACACAACATTGCAATTTCCCCTCAGGTCTATCTAACATTTTAGCTTCTTGAAGCTAATTGTTTTTGGTTTTATGGTCCATAACGTTCCTGTTTTACTGTGAAATCCATATTAAAGAACATGTTATGTTTATCAGTGGTTGATGGATGAATGACTAAGCAAAAGTTTACAAAGATGTAGGGTTAGCAGTTTTTTCTGGTCGAGCTACTTTAAGCTAACTCTTCCTATGGATCAAAATGTTACTGTTTATGTTCAAATTAACCGCTCCAGGCAGACATGTTTACAGCAGAAGACAACCTGCAGTCAAAATAGCTTCAATAACATCAACCAACTGTTTGATAACTCCTGAATGCCATCGAGCAGAAATTAAAACTTCAGCAACAAGGTAGATACTTGCTTGTGTAGCTTAATACAGCTAACAAGCCAACTATGAGAGTGCTACTGTATACCACAAGGTAGTCGGGTAGTAGATTTGAAAGATTTTTAATGGTTACACATATTCAGATGGATGCTAATGTTGCTTAGATCCTGGTTACATTAAGAAAATGTATGCTAACTCTAAGCAGACATCTTTTTACTCTACCCCAAAGAGGTCAAAAGGTCAATTTTTACAGGTTACATTTTGGTTTTGGTAGTAGTACAATGAAACAGAGTAACTCCTACTTGAGCGGCCCAACTATTAATGTCTATTGCTCTATGATGGGTGAGTTCATGGCTGCAAAACCATTACATTTATCAACCTAACTGGAGTGTCCATTAAAAGCCTGCAGGAAAATTCTCGTCCAACATTTAGAGCTTAAAAGAGGCTGGAATGTTTCACAGTGTCAGCAGTGATTAGCTGAGATGCTAACGCAAACAGATTTGCGACCGTGTGTTCTGTAATCGGCTGAGGAGTCGTGTACAATTCTATCTGGTGTGTTAGCTGGGCTGTTTGTGGTGAAGAAGGGGAGACTAAAGCATGGTTTACAGTTGAGATGAACTCACCAGGGCTGAAGCGTCTGTGAGCTGAGCTGCAGATTTTTTGAGTTTAACCCTCTGATGTCTGCTGTTGGGTTGCACACCAGCGCCTCGGGATCTCTTTCTGTAGTAAATTAATTTACATTTGGAGGATTTTCTAAAGATGCTGGCTTCCTGTGGAGCCCGGCAGATCAAAGTGTCTCATTCTGTGTGTTTGATGATGTTTGATGTTTGCTTTGAGTGTGAATGTTGCTGACTTTCTGCTGTCTTTTTCTTGCCACAGCAGGAGGTGCTCTTTCCTGCCTTCCTCGCCTTCAAAATACGGTAAGTTGCGTTTAACTTTTTTTTTTTCCGGCTCTGGTTCAGATTCTCTTTGCTGACATGTTCTTAATCAGCTCGGGATATCTACCCAATAAGCATTTGATGGATGCTGTGGGAGCAGGAGGCCGAGTTCAGTTCTAGCCCAGAGATGCACAAAATCTTTGAAATTTAGAATTAGGGATCAGAAAGAAAACATCTCTAGAAACTTCAGAGCTGACTTTGGAGATATCGAGGCTCTGACTTGCTGGTTTTCTGAGAATTAGACTGAATCCTGTCTAATTTACTGGAGTCCAGACTATAAGGACCTTTGAATGGACTTGGTTTTGATTACTGATGATTTCCTGAATTGAATTGGATGAATTCCTTACTTTGTAACAGGATTAAGTTCATGCTCATGACATGATTGCTTTATTTAATTCTTTAATATCTCTGAATATTCTTAAAGGAATTGTGTTTTAGTTCCTGTCATACCATCATCAAACTAGTGTTAAAATATATCAGTCACTAAGCTGTGCAAACAACATGGGATACAAAAAAACCCATAATTGTTGTTGAGCATGATCAGCGTCCTGCAGGAAGAGATTTTACATCAATGTTCTGGTTGGAGTTAATAAATAAAACACTCCCTGAAAATGTACACTGCATCGATAACGGTCTTCACCTAGCAGCTGTGATGTGTTGCCTGGCCTCTACACCCACTCTTTTATGTATCTGTGTGTGTGCGTGTGTGTGTGGATTCGGCTATTGTTAATAATCAGATTTGGTAAATGTCTCGAGGGCTCACACAAAGCAGGCCCTCTTCACCTTTAACCTCCTCCTCCTTTTCCTCTCCTCCTCTCTCTTCACGGATGATAATCCCTGAACATTCCCCTCATTGAAGAGGCTAATCAGTGTAAATACTTCGATACAGAATCCTGTTGTAGGGCAACAAAAGTGTGTAAAGGTCAGCTCAGCGAGCCAATCATTTCTTTTAGTTATTAATTGTGTTTTTTTTGCACTTTCCTTTCCTAAATCTGCATGTTAGATTTGGAAAACAGGAAACACTTACTATTGAATGTTTGCTATGAATGCTGTAGAGGTTTGAGAGCTTTGTGTTTAAGACGGGAAAAAGTATACACCCAGTTTACTCAAGTACAAGTACTGATTCAGCTTCTTTACTGAAGTAAAAGTGAAAAAGCAGGTTCTGCAGTGTGTGCACGGTGTACAAGTAAAGAGTGTCTCCCTGACGGAAATTTCTCCTAGATTGTTTTCATTCAAAACGGTCTGAGACTTTAATACTCAAATTATTCAAGTTTGATAAAAAAAAAAAACAACAACAACTAAATGATACTGAACATTATATTTGCTTCACATTTCAAATCATAGATTTACAAGTAGATGGACAACACAACACCTCCCCTCTACACCTCAGCCTGCTGCACTGAATGCAGTTTGTCAACAGAGCAGATGGGAAAAATGATAATCTGACTACTTGAGGTGGTAGATTTGTTTTTTAACAGTAATATCACACTCAAGACTGTGAAGGATCACTGTATATCAGCAAGCTGTAAAAATCTATGAACGAGTCACAGCCGTGCTGATATCCAATACATCACAACCTCCAGTGAGCTTAAATATGAAGAGTTGTAGTAGCACACAGTATTCTTTCTCCATTAAGAAACCCAGCAACAAAAAGCTACAAAGGCTGTAATTTGTATGATGATCCAAATTTAGTGTGTAAGCCTCGCCGTCTTGGACAAAATAGTGTTTGATTGATTTGCATTTGCGGTGAACTTGACAGCATCTTATTTTCTCACTTTGTCTTCCCGGTGTGTTTGTGCGAGTGTTTGACAGTTCGACTGACAGCGTGCAGACGTGTGTTCAACGTGCACTGTGTGCCTGGTAGACACTTGACGTCAGCTCTGTAGACTTTTCTCTGAGCTGAGCCGTCGCTCGTGTTGGTTTAGCCTCATTATCCTCACGTTTTTTTTTTTCATCAGACGTGTGTTTACTCCTCTCTCTCTCTCTCTCTCCATCTGAACTGTGATATTCAGCTGACCTCAAAGCTAACAATCGCCCAGTCTGTGTCTCTCCCTCTAACCCCCCCCTCTCTCTCTCTCTACCTGGGGCAAAGTCTTATGTAAAACACATTTATTTTTAATAGATTTTTTAATGAATTTTTTAGCTGCCTATTAATAATGCCATTAGTGGTGGCAGAGCGGCGTCAGACAGCAGCCTGGCCTGCTAATCCTGCCCCCCAGCTTTGGCAAACGCGGCTAATCCAGGCCCCTGCTTTTGGCTCAGAGTAGGCCTCACAAACACAAACACACACACAAACACACACACATATACTTAGGTATGTGCAAACACGTA